TTGCGAATCCGGCGATGTCCAAGTATATTTATGAATATCCTTACGTTTAAACGTCGTACTTTTAATTACCAGGTTTTTCGAGATGGCAAAGTTTATCAGACGGATCCCATTATCATTACTATATTCGTGCAAACTTTCTTTACCAATCGTCTGAATATAAACTTCTTCCCTTCCTACCTTTGCGTTCGCGTCACCTACAATTATTTTCATGTAGTTTCGCGGTAGTTTATCATAAACCCATTCGAGTTTATCGTAAAATTCACTTTTGACTTCATCGTCACTGTCTTCGGTCGGACAATGTATGTTTATTAATGCGATTTTAAACCAACGTCCCTGAAATGTAGCTACCGAAATTCTATCACTAAAGAATTGTACGTCCCTCAAAGCGGATAGTAATCTACTCCTAATTAGAAACCCGGTACCTAAACAATGATTCCCGCTTCCTCCGTACCAAATAGTGTACTTTCCTTCCCTCATCGAGCCCTCCCCTGGCCAGCGAACCTCTTGCAGAGCCACGACATCCAAATTGTACCCATTTACCTCATTCGCGACCGATTTTAGCCCCCCTGCTGTGTTTAAACTCCTTACGTTCCACGTACCAATATTTAAATCCCTATATTTCAACTTGCGGCATGAATCCCCTAAAGCAGTCCCCACCCGGAGACCCGAACGGGGGACTAGTTTACCTCCGGATAATGAGCGTTTTACCTTAGGGAGATCCATGACTTTTTGTGGTGTTTGGTGAACTAAAGATATGTGAGTAGGGCGTTCAATCCTACGTCACACCCTCCAGCAAGTCTGGTGGGCCCCTACCTCCAGCAAGTCTGGAGGTCCCCTCCCTCCAGCAAGTCTGGAGGGCCCCTCTCATTGTTGGTCAGCGAGTCCATCGGACTTAGCCGGGAGGAACTTCCAAGGAATTTCCACCGACCATCCCCACATCCGCCACCCGTGGGACGCTCCCCATACGCGGTAATGAGCCCGCGCGAGGTATAGATAACTCATTACATTTTTGTAGTAGCTGTATTATTATTATTATTTTTAGCTGTATTTGTACTTGTATAGGTTTTAAATTGACGATACCAATATTTATACTTTTAATAATCTTTTTAGATTCTGTTGGCATTCCTTAATTTTGTCTAGTTTTATATAATATTTTATTAATTTATTTTAACGTTACTTTATACATATCTGTCTTCTCTAAATTAAAAAAAAAATTAATTCGAAATTTCCTTTTATTACTACTTATGTCAGAATTATTCATTTATTAATTTTTTTCTGGTTTCAAATATTGACTTCATAAATATTAAAAATAAATTCTCACAGCAGATTTTTAATTTATTTATATTTATAAAACTGATTTCAGAATAGCAAAAGGGTGGTTGTTAAAAAATGTCTTGCGATTTCCACTCTTTTCCAGCGGTGAAAGTTAGCAGATAAATCCTATTTTGTAGAGACTCTTAATAAAAACTCTCGACTATTAACTTTCTTGTCCACTCACTGCCCCTATCAGTTATCAAAAATATTTTTGTAAATGCGGTTTTAACTATTATACTCTGAGGCGTCTGAAAAGAAGATGGCCCCGTGATCTCCTAATGTCATATCATTAGAGTGCAACCATTAGGTAGTTACACAGCGTGTATTCATGTCATTATATCTATTATGTCCAAATTTACTAGATGTATTTATTTAATACAGTTATAAATGTCATTAAGAAATAAAATAATAAAAATAAATAAAAAAAACTATTACAAACTGTACTTTCATTTGAAGTGAATATTGTCTAGAAAGCACAAACATGAAATATTAAATTTAATTAATTAAAATTTAAATTAAAACAAACATACTTTTCTGCAGTAAATCCTTTGTTTATATAAACAATATATCAAAATAAAATATATCTCAATCAAATATGTCATATTTCCTTGTATATACATGGTGTCCCGTAAGTTGAGAAAAATGTTTATAACAGCAGACTTTAAGAGATTCAAAAAGTTCAAATAAACAATTGACCAATGTTCAGCAGAAAATTAGCAAATCCAAGTTTTGTGTTTTTTTTTAAGTGTCATATTTTTTTTTTAAGAGAAATCGATTGCTAAAGAAAGATTTAATTTAAGTAATTGCTTCACTGTAAATTAGACCAAATTTATTCCAAAAGAAAATTGATTTTGTCATTGTTAAAACCATTTCATGAGAAATTTTGAGCGGTTAAACTAATGTAATCTAAGTTCTGCTTATAAAAAAAAATCGAAAAGTATTCGCGATTTTTTTTATATTATCATCCAACTATACCACAGATACCCCACTTTCAGAAAAACATCTTTGTTTAATAAACTTTAAGCTCATGTTAATTGAGTTGAACTATATTAAAAAAATCTTGAAATTTACCTCAAGTAGTGTAAAATAGACGCCTGACGTATTCACCCAGAAAAGCTAAGGTGTTGAAAAATGCAAGAACTTCTTAGACCCAACTAATAACATTATTTACAGAACAATAAAATAGGGAAAGGAGTGTGAATAGGATTTTTTAAACGGCTTTAAAAAATAAATTAAAAACGGACACAAAAAAGTAGACACTTAATTATACTCAATTATATAACATGGTAAATAAAAATATATTTTGGATACGAAATAGCGTAATTATAATAATTATAAATACGAATCATAAAACAACAAAAATTAATATAACATAGTCTCAAGAAAATAAATACAAAAATGAAATGTAGCTCCAATAGGGAAACACTTTGCACCAAACGGTTCAACAATTAGTGAACATTTAGGAGCAAACTTAATTTAGAAAACTCACTATTCATTTGGTCTCTTCTTTTGTTTTGTTTTTTTGCCCTCCTCTTCCTCACCTTTTAGGCTTTACGGTATTTTTTTTTCAGATTAGGGAAGAGGCCAGAGTTAAAAGCCCCTTTGCACCGGGAGGCGAACTTATTTTACCAATATAGCTTCTGTTTATCAGGTTGCTGGGCAACGAATATTTTGCACGTTCGGCCACATCTTCTCTCTATCTAGTCGAATCCTTAATGGAATACTTTTCTATCCTAATGCAACATTATCCATAGTGCGAAACACGAACTTCCCTCCCCATTCATTCGGTCTGTACCTAAAAATATATACTGTCATAATGATTGAGAAAACGATTAGGTTTTTTTTTTTTTTTTTCTCTAACTAAGATGTATATATTCCCAACTATTTTTGGAACGCCAATAGCGCGAAATTCAATCGAAGTGTCGAAACTTTTTCTATATTAATTAAAACCTTCTGTCAGTAGAAATTCTCTTAATCAGTTAAAAAACCAATACCAGCCAGATATTAAGTCACAAACCTATCAGATAACAAATTGTTTCATATTTCAAAAATAAAAAATAAATTACGACAAAGAGTTAGGTTCGAAGCATATTTATATGAGGTGCTTCATATCAAAGACGGACATCTTTCATTATTAAAAAGTTGAGAAAAAGCCAATTTTTGAAACAGCTTCAATTATGTTATTACTATTAATTTTTAAATCAATTCTAATTATTTATTGTCATTAGAATGACTATTTAACTTGAGCATTCTTAAAACCATCAGAAACAGTTTGAGTTGAACCTGTAAAATAATAAAGATTCATCAGATTTTCTTAATGTTTTTGAATCAGATGTCATCCCTTCCGACCTCTGCTGCGGTACTATTCCGTCATAACTACTTTGACACTCCAGAGCCAGCTGTAGCTAACTGTAAGTACCGTTGAGCCACCGCTGGTCCAGATACAAGGACGTCCACAGTCCGAAAGATGCTATTACAGCCGACCGACCACTTAAATGGTCCCCTGACAAAGCGGCCAACTAACGGAATCACTTCTAGGGCTCAGGTCTCGTTCCTCCTCCGCATTGGGCTTATGCATTTGTGTTTGCCAAAGTCGTGGTTCCAATTCAAGTCTTGAGGATAGAAATGAACCAGATCTTCTTAAAAAGCAGCTAGGTAGATCACAAAAACAAAGTATATTTACTACACCTTTAATCTTTTGGTGATCCAGACATAACTATCCTATATAGAGGGCACGGGCGAATCTACGGGGGAGGGGGGCTTTCGGGCTGAAGCCCCCCCACCCAAAATGGAAAAATATAACCATGTTTTATGGGAAAAGAAAATTAAAAAATACCTCTTAAAGTATTATTGTTCGTGTAATTACATTTAAAAGTACTTAAGGAATAACTTAAACACCATTTCATATAGGTAGTTAGTTTCTTTCTGTTTTTCCAAAGTAATTATCGTTATTTTTATGAAAAAAAAAAGGTTTCGGGCTGAAGCCCCTTGTATTGTAACCTTTCGTTATCTATATATCTCTATGTAGGTCCTTTATTTACTCACCCAATACCTACTAAACCCAACTACTTAATTCGTAATCTCTCCACAATGTCAAATATAAAAAACAGTGCCGGCCTTAGGGTGGGGCAACCGGGGCAATCGTCCCGGGGCTCCGACCAATCTTGCTAGAAATTAAAAAGTAAATACAAAATGTATTAAAATAATTAATATAAGTCTATCAATAAAGCAATTGTATTCGAGAAATGTTGAATAAAATAAAATTCAAACATTACATAATATATAACAGTTTAAGAAATAAATTTAATTTTGGGGGCGAGGGAGAGGGGGAAATGAGGTTATTGCCTGGGGGTACCGAATGTAAGGCTGACACTGATAAGATTAGCTTCATACGAATAACTGTCACAAAAGGTTCTTGTAGCTTAGATCACTCTTATTAACTAATATAGACCAATGAAAAAATATATTTTTAAGTTCAACCCGAAAGTCCCCCTTATATTTCTCATTCAAACGATTAGATATCTATTGCATTTATCGGTGACAGATAATAAGAAGTATTTAACAACAAAATACAGCTTATATTAATTTTAAATTTCATGATAGGTAATATTCTTTATTAAATTTATGGTCTTCATTATTTCTTCTCGAAGGCGAATTTCATTAAGCAACTCATACTTTTGTTGCAGGTAAAAATAAACCAGCTACAATCGTCGTTCGGGTCGGCAACAACAGACCGGACTTGGCCACCAACCCCATCTGCAACAGATTTACGGGATACCTCGAGGAAGGAAAACCACTGTTCCTGCCCTGCAATCCACCTATGCCCGGCGCCTTCGTGAGCGTCCACCTGGAGTCCACAGGCCCCACCAACCAGCTTTCAATATGTGAAGCCTTCGTCTACACTGACCAGGTAACCATGTATAGTCAATATTTAAAAGGCTAATTTTGGTATTAAAATATTTTGCAAACTAGTTTATTAAATAAAGTCATCAGTAAGACAACTAATACGAAAACGCATTATTATTAGTATTTAGGACTTCTCAGTCAATATTCTTAAGTGAAAATATTCAATATGAATTGCTGAAAATCTCTATTTTCATATAAAGGTCTAACATCTTGGATGTCACCACCCTCCCAAACTAACTCAGATCTTTCAAGAGCTGTGTTTCTGTACACCTAATCTTGAAAAGTTTCATTATTATATTTTGAGATCCAAACAACAATGAAATTGAAACTCTTCAAAGATATGGTTCATTTCAAAAATTCATTGCTTCATAAATTTCACACCTTGTAATAATGTAAAATCACACAAAAATTTTGAAGCCACAACTTGTGTCATGCAACCCTCTTCTGGCCATCTCTGGCTGAACATAAAGGAGTTGAAGAACGTCTGATTGCTTAGTTCAAATTATGATACACCTACCTCAACATACGTTCCCTTCCTCTTTCATTTCATTGTCGCTCAAATGAATATTTTAATTTTAGTTCTAATTAATTTATATTGTAGATTAAACACAATATTGGAAATAAGCTATTTATTATTGTAAAGCAAAAAATTCCAAATGTTCTGTTACTTGCCCTCTGCTCCATACAGCAGAACAGATATGTATAGGCCTTCAAAATGTGGAGCTTCACATCTTTATTTACCTCTCTTTTTCCTACGACCATGTTTCTAATGGAATAGTTTACACTATTAGTTTTTCCAATTCTGTGGTATATTTCTGGTTGGACTTTTTCATTTCCGCCAATCACAGGTGGAGAACTCATTTACGACTTCAAGCTCCTCATTATTGCACGTTATGGATTTGTATGGGTTTTCGTCCCACTTTATTTATTTATTTTTTTATTATTTTTTTTTTTTTTTTTTTATTATTTTTTTTTTTTTTTTTTGTTCTTCCCTACCTCGCCTTTTAGGCTATACGGGATTTTCCCGAGCCGGGGGGTGAGTGAGGGCGGGGAATTTAAAATCCCCTCCGGCACCGGGACGCGAACTCGTACTTTTTTATATCATCTCAAATCTCTGTTATCCGGTTGCCAGGCAACTAGTGGTGCTGTTACACACGCTTTAGCCTATTCGGCCACCCCGCCCCCACTCTCTTTTTCTGGCATTAATATTGATGCTCTTCCTTCTCAGTTCTGCTTCCCACTTTATTAGGGCTTGCTGGAGGTTATTTGTAGAGTCAGCAACAATGTTCCCGACATATACCATTACTTTTGCCAATTTAGGAACACGCATTCAGTATACTCACCTTTGCTTCAATATCCTCAATGATCATAATCTTTACAAAATGTAATAGCGGTGTTAGTGAAGTCAGTGAAAATTAACAATTTTTATGACGAAATCATAGTTATTTTTTATTTATTTTCATATACAGTATTTTAAACTAATGTTGCCAAATGAATATTTCATATAATTAGGAAATAATAAATTACAATAAATAATTCACAGAATTTGCTAATAGGAGATTTTTTATGAGTAAAAAAAATTAATCAATGGATGAAGAAGAAGAAAAGTTGAGTAAGCCAATGGCGAAGAATTATAATGGTGATCTAATGAACTTGGTGATTTTATTTAATTCATTTCTTATCCTCCATAAGAACAATTGATTTTGAAAAAGAAAACGAAATAATTTTGAAAATTATCCTATTACACATCAATTATTTTTTGCACACAATTAAAAAATAATTAACTGCATCTAGGCTATCATTTTTTTTTCGTTATAGCATCTTTCCCATGGTGTCTTTTTTAATGAAAGGGAAACTTTCAATTGTTGAGGTTTACAAGCATGATATATATTTCTCATTGTTACTAATTATAATTACATAGCAAAATCTAGGTTAAAAGAAAGTTATGATGTTAATTTTTAATCTGTTATAGTTTAATAATCAGTAAAAATATGAATAATATTACTTCAAAATCCAATGCTTAAAATTATTGTTTTCACACTTCCTAATCTATATTTTTTATTTATAAACCTAAAAGGTCATGAAGGGATCTGAAATATTTTGTTACTAATTCTGAGCATGTTATTGAGTATTATTTCATCATAATACAAATATATCTGCTCTTTTAACTTCAATCTATCTTGCTTCCTGCCATGTTTTGCCGATTAGACAAAGATCTTTTTCTGCTGATCTGCTCCACATCTCTCTGGGTCTTCCTGTCCTTAGTCTCTGAGGATTCCATTGTAGAGTATATTTTTTGATTTTACCAAGTTCATGAGGTTTTATTACGGTGTGTCTTATTTATTTCCAACTCCAAGTTGATGAATGATTCCATTTTTTCTACAGTGGGTTCCCTTAAAGTGAGACATTATTCATTGTTTTACTGACATTGATCTTTGGATATATAACATGTCCAACTCAATTGGTGACTTAACTTAGACCAACTAATTTGTCCTGAAGATCAATGATTCGCTGTGAAAGATTCCTATGATCTTCAGGATGTTAATTTATACATGAGGGAATAAATATTTTTTGACGTACATATCCATCCATATATGCTTCTCAAGGATTCTCCACATGATATTTTCATACAATAAGTGGAAGGATTTATCATAATCAATAAAGACTATATATAAAAGTCTTTGATTTGACAATGGACACTGCTCCATGATGATTCTCAACATCTTTATGATAGCAGTGCTCTCTAAAATTGGCTGGCACACCAGTTTGTGCAGTCCACAATGTCTCCTTTCTAATAATTCTTCAAAAAACAGTTCGTTTTTCTCTTTGGAAGTACTAGTAGGATAGTAAGTACTCCTGCTTGTCGAAATTCCATAAACAGAAAAAAGTTAAAAAAGAAAAACATTGTGACATTTTAGCTTTACAGCTTTTTTAATAAACTAACTTCAAATTGTGAATAACTTCTACTGCCTTGCTAAATTTAAATGTATCTATACTTGAAATCACACTAACTAAATACCAGATATATACATTGATTAAAAATTAGATGAACAAAAAGGAATATCGGAAAATATTACTAAAGAAGTTATGAACAATTTTGGCAGATTTTTCAAAAGATTAATTACTTTAAAAACTTATTTGCAAAATTAAAATCATACTTTCTATATTTTTTTTTATATATAGAGGATCAAATAAAGAACAAATATGAAATGTTTGCTGTGTTATTTTACCTGATACTACATTGTAATATAATGTTGGCTCTTGATTCTGATACATTTTATCTGAAAACATGGTTCAGTTCACCCAATGACAGTTAAATAATTAATAATTAAATTTTGTAAAAGTAACTAATGTTATAAAGGCCTTTTTCACTTCCAGTAAAGTCAATTCTATAGAAATATTTTCATGTTTTAATTTACTTCAGTAGTTTTTGACATATGGATCTACTGAGAGTTTAATAGTGTAATAGGACGACAGCATTTATTGATGCATATGTTTTTCAGGCTCTTCCCATCGAAAGGTGTCCTCAGTTCAGAGATCAACCACCTGGCAGCACAGCTACTTACAATGGAAAGTGTTATATATTCTACAACAGGCAGCCTCTTCCCTTGAAAGAAGCCCTAGCTTTTTGTCGTAATCGTGGAGGAACTCTTGTAGATGAGAGCAATCCAGCACTTCAAGGGTTCATTAGCTGGGAATTATGGCGCAGGCACAGGTAAGCTTTAAAATCGTAATATTAACCAAGAGAGTCTTTTACAAGAAAAACAAACTTTGGTTACGGAATCCAATTTAACTGCTAAGTATTTATGTTTATCCACACATAAATTATTTTACTAAGGCTCAAAGTTGGTTTTGTACCAAATATAAGCTTTTATCCTGCTAAAATGCCATGAATGGGGTACCATTGGATTCAGAGTTTCTCTAGGGATTAACAAATCGTACTCTCAGTGTTTTTTTTTTTCAAAAATTAATAAAGTCGATTTAAACATTCCACAAGTCTTCTATACTGGGATAGTGGTAAGTCGGTGGTTTGAGATGGGAAAAATTGTGTTTTAAAGATTTTGTTGTTGATATCAAGACCCAGTTAGGTTCCTTTGGATAAAGAAGGAAATGGATCAGGGGTCAGACAAAAATAACATAAAATAGTGTTAACAATTTATTAATCATAATATATTAAGAAATAATTGTTCAACCTGTCAGATAATAAAAGGATTCATAAACATCCAAAATTCATTTTGTTTTAAATTCATTCAGTATCAATAATTTAGTTATGAATGAACATAATTAAATTCTCTTACATTGGTTTAACTAACAAAATCTTTCTTTACAGAAGTGACACAAGTAGCCAGTATTGGATGGGAGCAGTCAGAGACCATAAAGACAGAAATAACTGGAAATGGATCAATGGTGAAGATGTAACTGTTTCATTCTGGAACCTACCAGGAGGTGATGAAGACTGTGCAAGATTTGATGGATCCAAAGGTTGGCTGTGGTCGGATACCAACTGCAATGCAAAAATAAACTATATATGTCAACACCGTGAGTCAATTTATTAATTAAAATTTTATGAAATTCATGATTATATGTATATTCTACTACTATTTTGCATATTTTATACTTTTAGAACCCAAGGCATGTGGCAGACCTGAACAGCCTCCCAATTCAACAATGATTGCTGAAAACTTTAATGTAGGAGCTGCAATTGAATACAATTGTGATGAAGGACATTTATTGGTTGGACCCAGCGCTCGTGTATGCCTACCTACTGGGTTTTACAACGAATTTCCACCTGTATGCAAGAGTGAGTAATATGATTATGTTTACCACATTATCCTTAAAATAGGATTTCATGTCATAAAGCATAATTTCAATGTCAATGCACAACATTTTTTGTACAAATATCAATTAAGCATTGATCTTATTTATTGAAATTGAAAATTGTTTGATATTTTTAGTTTTGTTCAGAAACCTATCGTAATAAAACATTGGTAATTATTTTCAGGAATAGAATGTGGGTTCCCAGCTGATATTCCTAATGGTGGGTACCAACTTCTCAATGGGACTGTTGGATATCAAAGTCAAGTCTTGTACTCCTGTGATGAAGGCTATAAAATGTCTGGTAGAGCACAATTGACCTGTGACTTGGATGAGAGGTGGGATGGTCCACCACCAAGATGCCAACGTATGTATTTTACTTACTGAATTTATGACATGAATTTACTATGTAGTTGAATAATTTTCTTTTGTATTTGGTTTCTGCTGTACAATAAATAATAATTGTTTATTGTTTATTTATTAGCAATTCTTTGCGGCGAGCCACCAGTTGTTGAAAATGGTGATATGTTCTTGTCTAACAATATTACGACCCCTGGTACAGTGGTTGAATATTCCTGTGCTTCTCCTAGGTACCGCTTGGTTGGGCCTAAACAAATCACTTGCCTTCCCACTGGCAAATATGACAAAACTGCTCCTGTTTGTAAAGGTAATTAAGTCCATACTACGAAAAATGAAATTATATGTTTATTTATTTAAACAACACCTTCATCTGTTTAAGCACTTTAAATTTATTAATTCAAAAGTAATAAGATTTATTGATTTGAATATATTTTTTGTTGTACTGATACATATTAAACCTAATTTTTAATGATATATTGATTTATTTACCCAACATTTTTTCTAGAACAAGTGAGACCAGCTTTACCTCCTACAGTGAATCCTGTAACCAGAGTGACAACAATAAGACCAACAGTAATTAGAGAAAAACCCAGACCGTTCTCACCAGCGAGAATTCCAACACCTAAACCAATTACACCTGACCCTGAAATAGACAATAGGCTGAGTGAGACTAAGCATGTGCCTCATGTTGTCGTTGCCAATCGACCAGACATTGCTGATGTTAGAAATGACATAGCTGGAATTGATTTACCAAGTCATTCATTACATGAAGATAGAACGATGCTTGGAGCCAAACTGAATCTAGGTATGAATTAAACCTCGTATGAATTAATGATGGTCGCAAAAGATTTTTTTTTCAATTTGTATAAAGTTTTCACTCAATATGAATGTCAGTCTAGCTCAGGATTCCCTTTCATCCAATCACTTTATCAAAATGACACATGATCTGTGGGAGAATAAAAGGGATTCAAAAATTATTAATGTAAGACTATTGTTTTGGTGTAAAATGAAATTGATGGAAGGCTCTAGTACAGGCCTGGTCAACCCCAGTGGGCGGGGTGGCCAAATGGGCTAAAGCGTGTGCACAGCACCGCCGTTGCCTGGCAACCTGACATATGAATCTAATAATATAAAAATAGTCACGACTTTGCGTCCTGGTGCCGAGGGAGTCTTTTAAATCCCTGCCCACACTCCCTGGCCCGGGAAAACCCCATATAGCCTTAACGGCGAGGAAGGGGAGGACCCAAAAAAAAAAAAAAAAAAAAAAAAAAAAAAAAAAAAAAAAAAAAAAAAAAAAAAAAAAAAAAAAAAAAAAAAAAAAAAAAAATCACTGTGGGGCGCATTAAAAATGTAATCCAAATAAAAACATAATGAATAAAACTTTATTATTATGCTCTGATTCTATAATATATTAAACTCTAGAATCTAAATTAATAAAACATTTATTTATCCTTTATTCCTATTTTTATTCAAGTATGATTCTGCAATTAACATTCAGTGTCCATAGATATAAAATATATCAAAGAACTGCAGTTTGTACTCACACTTCGACACTGTAACAACGGTATATGCAAATTGTCATTTTTTAACATTTTTTACATACATCAATTCAATTCAATAGAAACATAAAATTACTTGGCAAGCCTCACAATGTAATGTAGTTGGCCGCATGTTTCCTGCGATCTTTGTTTTGCCCAGGCATGCTCTAGTGCAACTATAAATCCAAAATTTTAAATCATTGGGCTATTAATTATTATGCTGTCACATTTCAATTATGTGTTGTGATTATGTTTGGTGTTTTGAACCCCAAACCAGGCTTGTTCCTGGTTCCCTTAACAATAGTGAAAAGCAAGCCACCATGAAATCCTAGCCATATTCTCTGAATCGTGTCAATTGTATAAAAGCCAGTGGAGGTTGAGCGAGATTGTTAACAGTCACTATATAAACATAACTTTAAAACTTGAATAATTTCCTGAAAGCATAAATAAGTTCTCTGTATTTCACCATAAGAAAAGGGATTGATGATTTTTTTAACTAATATTTTAGTTATTTATTCTTTGTAGCTTATGTACTTATTTTTAGGGTCATAAGAAACTTTGCCAAAGGAATTTTAAGTACTAGCATTATTAAATTTTTAAGGTAATTGAAAGAAGATATAAAATATTATTATCTAATACTTTTCTAATTGTTTTCAATCTAGGTGCTATAATTGCCCTTGGAATATTTGGAGGGTTTGTCTTCCTGGCAGCAGTTGTTACAACAGTTGTGATATTAATTAAAAGGTAGGTGTGGAATATTTTTAAAATACTAACTTTTGTGTTCTTTGTTTGCCTTATCAAATTTTATTGCTAAATGCTTTATTTAATTGTTTTTGTTGTTCTTCCTCCTCCAACTACTTGTTTTAACACTAAATGTAGAATGGCAGTTGGTTAAATACTAATATTTTTCCTCACTTTGCTGTCATCCTTTTTTTTTTTTTTTTTTTTTTTCTGTTTTATTTATTAAGGTTAATTTCCCAATGTTTACAGAAATAGGTAAATTTTATTTTATTTATATTTACCTTTAATTGAGCAAAGATTAGTAATACGATAAAATCTTCTATACAATTTCACTATAAAATAAAGAATTTTTTTATTGATAATCATAATTGCAGTGGCACAGGAATGTTATTCAATTAAAAATATATATTTTATAAAAGCCTAAATCGGTTAATTATTCATGCATAAAATATCATTCCTCTGAGATTATAATTGTAAATTCAAATTTGTGGTTTGGCATCCACTTAAAAGAGCCTCCCTTAATTTAGTGGTTGTTAATTTAATGAGGTTTATGGCTGACCATCTTTTATTTCTCATACGACTGCTCCAGTTTTTTACTGCTACTTATTGATTTAATATTTAATTACTCAATTATTTTTCATGGCTCAGTGGATCTTATTAGAAAAAAAATATTTATGGTACTAGGAATGAAATCTTTGAATTGATAATTTGTAGCCAGAGAAGTTCTTATTACTCCAAGGGTAGAATTTTAGTCAAAAAATTAAATTTCTAATGGAAAAATGAGATGACACTTTGTTATTTAACTTTAAAGGCACTTTTTAATGTATTTATGAGGAGTATTATTTAGGGAGTGGGGTCTTTAGTGGTAGGGCTTCCAATACTCAAGGTCCCTGGTTCGAATCCCGGTTATGGACGAAAAATTATTTATTCTGTTTCATTGGTCGGGAGACAATCGTGGAGTAGGGAGATAATTGGTTAAAGAGGAAAACCTGGTGGTTGAACGTGATCCTGGCTCGATTCCCTCTCTACACTACCGTTGGCCTTGTAACAGTACTTTCCCTGAAACCAAAACTCTTCATGGGTTGTTGTGGTACAGGTTTTATTATTTATTATATTATAAATTTTAATAAATAATAAATTTCTTAGATTATTTAATATAGTGTCAACTTATAATTAATTTGGTCCTCTGCTATTATTTTGTTTTAAATAGATTTGTAATATCATGCTTTGCTTTATTGCTACTAAATTTGATGCTTTAATTAAAGTATTTGCTTTTTGCTTTTGATTTTTTCATGCCAAAGCTGGTAAGCTTGTATAGATTATTTATATAACTAATGAATTTTATCTGAGCAACATTTTAAAATAATTTCCACTTTCATTCAATTCTACAGAAAAATAATAATTTTAAATATATTGATTAGTGAAGTGATTAAAATTTAATATTGTTAAATTAAAAAATAACTTTAAACTAATGTATATTTTCATTGTGATGTTTCAAATTATACTTTGATGGTTTTAAAATAAAAGTCAATTCCTCATTTTTAATTTTGCTCTGTGTTCATTCACAAAAATTTCATGGGTAGTCTCCAAAATCTGATAGTCGTTGGAAGAAAATTTCTTAATCACATTATATTACTCTCTATTTGCTGCTAATCCTGGCCTTCGTAACCTTTTTAAATAATAGATTTATAATTTAAAGGGTTAAGAACAATTCCTTTAAATAATAGATTTATAATTTAAATGGTTAAGAACAATTCCTCTTAACCCTCCTATCCTCCATTCAGTTTTAATAACTACATTATTTTTACCTAAATATTGTGATATTCATAGCATTGGTCTAAATTCCTAAATTACATCATCAAAATGTGAAAGGGCTGCTAAATGAATTATAACCCTGTACTCTGGTAAGTTACATCCTATCTTCCTAAACCTTATTTAGTTTATTTTTTTCTTTCTCTTGTCACTCTTTATTTATTCAACTAGTTTGTCGGTCCTTTTAAGTCCTGTAGTTATTGTCATTAACATTGTAGTTAGTCACTTGAATGTTTCATCTCAAACTTCTTTCTATTGATTTCATTAAATATTTTTATTTGCATGAAAGAAAGAAAAAAGTTAGTTTTTCAATACTATCCTGGAAAGGTTGAGTTTGATACAATTACCATTAGATGTTTGGTCTAGGTCCAGTCATTGGTAGGTGGTCAAGTGGACTGTAAGTGATTTAAAATGGAAATATGTATTTTAAAAAATAATGAAAATAACTACATATTAGCTGATATACATTGTTTGTCACATTTATTTGTGGAAAGTTAAAGTAACTTGTAGTGAGTTCTGTAAAAAACAACTGTTAATATTGACAGAATAGTGTTCTTTACTTTCTTTAATGCTCTATTCTCCCCTATTCTTTGAACTTAACCTCAGTGACTTTGATTTGCTCTTCTATAATTTTAAAAATGAAATGGGAGAAAAAATAAGTGATCCACTTACATTAGTCTTAAGTCTGGTCCAGTCAATGTTTATTCTATAATGGTTCCACAACCTTAAATAATTTAATTTATCATTTGATATGATGCAGGAAGTGATAAGAGTTAAATAAGATACAAACATCGCCTATTAAAATTTCCAGTGCCACTGCGACAGTACAGACTGTCTTTTGAAATTGAACAAAAATAATATGTTAAAAGGGAATGCAGAGATAGCATGATTGCATTTGCTTTAGAATGTTTTCAAGAATTGCTTTTCTTTATTTTCTTGTTTAATTAAAGGCTGTTAAAAACATTAGACTCTCTCTTATTCAATTGTTACTATGGAATCGCTTTTATTTACTTAGTTACTATGGTTTTAAAATTTTTACTATGCATAAAAATTTTAATTTACATTGAAATTACATTTTCTTTACTGTAGAGAAAAAATTGTAAATCATTTAATTTCAATTATCAATTTTATTTATGCTACTAATGAAAGCATTCTACTATTATAGAATGTTCCCAAAAATAGTTTATGATATATACCATCGAGGTTTTTTAAGGTTATTTAGGGCAGCTTGATAATATTAATTATTGTAAAATAATTGTATTTACTTTCTTAGAGGAATTATTGCGATTTCATACTTATAATTCTAACTGTAAAATGTCTTCATTAATGATAACACTTGTACAAATAAATATATCTATTAATAATGTTAAATATCATAGAAAGAGAGAGTCTTTTGTTATCCAATATGTATAAAATAGAATAAATTGATTGAATAGAAAAGGAAAACCCACTATCGGGTGGTAGGAAACTAAAGTAGTGGTCGGTGGGTGTTCACAGTGGTCGAAGGGCCAAGACGCCCCCTTCTCGATCGATGCCTTCCAGATGGTACACCCTGCTTGCGATGCCCTTCCCGGACCAACAGGTCGGCAGGAGGCAGTTTGCACGAGCCTACCACAGCCGTGCTGGATATTTCTCTAATCCTATTTGACACTGTCACCGACCATGAGTCCTTCCCATAGTTCCCATTAAGAGTACAAACTATCTCTAAAGAAAGGTAATTTCCCCTAGTTTTGATAATTTGTTTATTTTTATTTTGCTTGAATTGATTCACTTTTTCGAATAAACGTTAATTTGGTTTTGAAAGTTTGTTCATAAATGGCACTAGGTGAACTTGGTGGTGTCAGTGTCATCCCTATTTTCCTTTGCTAACATTATTACTTGACTCACTTTGAAATTAGCACTTCTTAATGTAAGTTTAGCATGTTCACTCATAATACTTTACTAACTGCCATTAGTTCTCTGGTGTAATGTGCTTGTGGTTGTGGAATGAAAACTAACTATACACGTTCTCATATTTTCATGTTAAAGTGGTTGGATTAGAGTTTTAAACAAACAAATAGATTAGTTTGTCCATTATCATACAGAGTTTAAATCAATTAAAAATTGACTTCTGTTATTCTGGTATTTGAAATAAATTTAAACTTACATTTAGTGGGCCTACAAAATTAGTATATTTGTAACCATATCTATCATGCCCCTAAAAAATGTACTCATGTTTTTCTATGAAATTATGTTATTTGTTGACTAAAAGTTTATTATTGGATGTTTTTCATGATATGGAGATATGATTCAAATAAATAACTTTATTGAAAAAATGCTATTTATAATTTTAACAAAAAAAGAAAATATTGCATTAATTTATTACTAAAAAAAAAATTATCATCAAAGTGGACTTTCATTTATCCTCTGTTGATAATTGAGTATTTAATTTTTACTTTTTTAATTTTTGGTATGGAAGTAAATGGTCCAAAACAGTTTGGAGACTGCATCTCTTTCAAAAAACGCATTACTAGCCCTGAGAATAAATAAATAACTGCAACTTGTTAGTCATACTACTAGTACTGGTATTGGTGGGTGGAACTAATTCAGCAAATGGTCCTTTCGTAGTCCTTTTTCCAACCGCTGATGGCTACCTTGAGGCTGCCGTGTACTTATCAGAATGGGAATGTCACAATCCATTTCTCGGGGCTGCCGAGAAATGAAAAATAACCGACCCACATGGGAATCAAACCCACAATATTCAGAACGAGGCACTCTGAGACCCACGTCCAAACGTGCTCAGCCATTCTGTCCTTAATATTTAGTAACTTAGTAATAAAGATCATTCATGGCTGAATTCCTAGTTTAATATAACAGTCTGACTTTAAAGTATTCTGCAAAGATTAAACATTTACTATTGCCTACGAAAAATGAAATATACTTTAATCAAATATTTACTTTATATTAAAAAAAAAAAAAAAAAAAAAAAGGCATGTACTGTTGATTAAAGTTGGTAATCTATTAATAAAGGTATATTAAAAAACAAAAACAAAGTTGACACTGTATAAGTGTCTACTATTCATGTTTTCTGATATGTTAACTTACCTACTTTAATGTTTAATATCATTACATAAAATATGTCTATAGGAAGATTGTACATTACAATATTGTTATTTTATTGTATATAATGTATAAAATATATTATTAAAAAAAGCTTGCAAATAAAATTGATCAATGTTTTGCTGTATGGTACTGACTCAAATAATAATCAAGTTAATTTTATTTCCTAGTATTGTAGGACCTTGATAATTCGACATATTGTTGACAGGTGGTCATCAGGATTACCTAGTCTCTTAGGAATTTACAGATATATATGAACATATGTGTTTATATTTAAGTATTATGTTTTTAGACACCATGCTTACATTATTAGATTTTTCTTTTATCCAAACAAGTATGTTATTTTTTGGTTGTGTATGGATTATATTAACCTAATGGAATTCAAAGGCAATTGAACTACTTAGGAAAAAGAAAGATGGGAGCAACATAGACTCATTTTGACTGGCATGTAGTCCAGGTGACCAATTATTTGAATTATTGAGGTCCTACTAGATACCCATTTATCAATTTTAAAAATTAATATCAGATGATGTATATATTTTTATTAATGAAATGGAAAAAAAAAATTGATTGAGAGTTACAGTTGCTAAAGTTAAACCTTATGAAAAAAATACTCAGAAAACCAGTGAAAAAAAGAATTTGAAATTTTGTTGTTCTCTTTATTTGTTTTTATGGTTTGATTACTGCATTTCTTTGCAGTTGTTAAAAGAATTTTAAATAGTGATATTTATTTATTATATTTTTTTTTTTAACAGGAACCAAAGTGCCAAACATTACAGACATCGAGGGTCACCAGATAGCCATACTGTGGCATCGTTTGACTCATCTGGTTCAGAGTCAAGGGGTGGACTAAATCGTTATTACCGCCAGGCTTGGGAGAACCTGCACCAGTCAACCAAACCACCTCCAGGTACTCCTGGGAGAAAGGAGAGCTCTGCTGAGCGGGATGGGAGCGAGTTGGTAATTAATGACGCCTTCAGAGCTGAAAAGAAGAGGTCTCATGGACACCACCACCACCATGGCCATCATCACCATCACCACGGTCATGGCCAGGATTGGAGGCATAAGACCAATAGATATTAATTTTAAAATGGTTTAGCTATCCACAGTCTCAGAAAGAACTGGTCTTAAAGCATAACTTGCACATGTTAAATTAATAATCTATTTCAAATTGTCATGTTTGATAATACGCTTATTCTTTATGCTTATCATGATTATTTAAGAACACATATATGTTTATTTTGACAACATTAAGTTCAACATTTATTGCAGTTCTTTTAATAACAATTTATCAATCTGATTCAAATCTGATATTGATTTAAATTTTTAATGTGTTTAAAATTAGAACTTGCATAATTTGCTGCTTTTCCCTGCAATATCTCTTATATTGTTGATATTTAACTTTACTTTTAACCTAGATCTACTAAAAAAATCTTTAAAGGGAAATTAAAATTATTTATTGCTTTATTACATGCTTATCATTCATACAATTTGTCGTTTAAAGCATATTTTTTTGTTCTGTTTTAGTGTAAATCTTAGTAATTGTTATCAAATTATTGGTCTGCTCCTTATTGTACTCTACTTCTAACTTAAATTAATTTTATTTGCTATTCCTTTTTCCCAAATAAGTTGATCCAAAATTGTTGCAACTGATCTATATGATTTTTCTTTTATACATCTTTTTTAAGTCTATCTTTGGGACAAGTTTAAATATTTCAATTTAAGGAAGTTTTCGGTACCACCATCTTACTCTCTTAGGTGCAAGTAGTCCCACCTGTTAAGTTAAATTTATGTTACCAAATTTCAAAACTTTTTTTCTTTCTCACTCTCTTTATCTTTTTCTAATATTTATTTATTGACCAGTTGTAAATATTTTGCTTACTATTACAGCTTTTAAACAATAATAAGAAAGACTATTACTTCTTTCTAAATTGTACCAAAAAATTATTTTTAAGGTTGCCAATAAGTTTTTGACTTAATTACATTTTGTATGCAATGCATACTAAAACAGCTTAGTCTTTTTAAAAATATAGATAAATTTAAAATTGAGGTGAAACTTAAAGACCAAATAGTATCTGTTTATTTCAAAGTTATTATTTAGTGCTCATAACTGTAGTTTCTATTGTGCTATTTTGATTTTAAAGACTTTTAAACAAGTATTTTGTTGTAAATATTATATTTTATTTAGAAAATCAATTTTATTAATTTATTTTAAGTATGACAAATTCAAGAAATTCTTAGCCCAACTTTTTTTAAAAGTTTGGCTGATGTACTTCTTGTTATGTAAAGAGCATATCAGTGTTTCATTGAATGAATAATATATTTTGCCAATTCATTGATAACTGACAGTAATTATCATTAATCATTTACAAAATGTATAAATCTGTTTGTATAATGTCCTATAACAATACGTAAGACATATATGTTTATGTTTGTAAATATTATAGATATTAAAATCAATTAAAAAAATATGTAAGTATTTGTATCTATATTAGAAAATATATATATATTTAATATATTGTTTTATAAGATATCTCTTTTTTTTTTTTTAACTTCACCCCTTTTTATTATATATTATTTTAAATAACCATGAAGTATATAAGAAAATAGTATCACAAATGAATAAAAAAGAACTGAAATTCTTCCAAACTACAGCTTAAGGCCCAAATCCGGCATAGGAACACCACCAAATTTAATTTATTTTCAATTGTAAAATATATAATACAATGTAACTGAACCATATAAAGTAATAAACGTATATTTTTTTCAAGAGCCATTTAAGAAACAGTAAATGATAGACGTAATGTTATTGAAAATTTTTATTGTAATTAATGATGTGAGTATACAGTTACTCCTTTTGTTTCTTGGCAAATGGTTTGGGGTAAGGAGGGAGTTAAGGATACTCATAAGGGAAGAGATCAGGTTAGATTCACACTCAATCCAAGGGTGTTTACCTCATTAAGGGTACCAACTTTAAAGAAGTTGGATGAACTCCAAGAAAATCTCCTGACTTCAGGTAACAGATTAATTAAACTCACTGAATTCTTATCTCACAAAGCCTTTTTAAAAAAGCAGAAGTACACATTTTTTCTACTTATTCTTCAGGTCAAGGTCCATTTTCCCTGCATAAATTGAAGGAATTAGAATATTAAATTTAGGATATATTTTAGAATAGGATTATACCAGCTGTATTTATTGAACTAAATTAGTTGATAATTTATTAAATTTACATCTTACAATTATTAATATGTATGGCCATCACAGGCACAGACTTACCATTTTGATTGGGGGAGCGATGACCAAAAGAAAAAAAAATGGCGGTAGTTCATGTTATGTGCACAAATTCAACATATTGTGAATCTAACAAATATAATATTGGATATTTAAAAATAAATATAATAGATGTTTAGACAGTTGTAGGATTTTTTTTTTTGAGTGTTTGTTGATAAACTTGAAAATATCTGAATAAAATAATTGGATATATTATAATTTGTATACATTTAACATGAGAGGAAGGGGTACAGCCTCCATAACATCGGAATACATATCTAAAACATTTTAAGCTAAAAATGAATAATGTTAAAAGCCGAAAAATACTTTTGATTTCTTAGTTTGTACAACCTCCAAATAAATTGTTTTCACAGTCTGACTAGTTATTTAAAATGTTTATAAAAATATTCTCTAGAAAATATATTTATACTTGTACTTATGTAATTATTAAATTTCCAACTGCAGAAATGTTATAAGAAAATTACGTGAAAATGGAGGTGTCCACATGAAAGGTGAACAAATGATAAAATTCAAGGATATGTTTCCAATTTTAATTTATCAAAGGATAAATTAAAATTTAAACAATACAAATATTTAGGTTGTGATAAAATAGTTACTTATAGGCCATAGCTTAGTTTATAATTTTATTTATTAATTTATCTTATTTGTTATGAACTTTAATTTTTTATATATATTCTCGCCCCATAACATTTTTATTGGGGGGAGGAGGGAAGCCTATGGTCTTCACCTATGGTGGACACATATATAACTACCTTATTTTCATTCATTAAACGAATAACAAAACGAAAATTATTTTTCATAGCTATGAATGAATTTAAATGTTAATTCGGTAATTAATAATAATGAGGGGCAGAATTTCTTTTCAAAATCTTTTCCTCTTTGTAGATACACGGAACTTTAAAATAATTAAATTGCTTAGGATCTATTTTCGGGATTACGTTAAAGAAACTTTTTTTTAACCCAAGTTTTTATTTAAAAATAAGATTATATTCGGAAAAATGATTTTGTTCCATAAAAGACTGTGTTGGTTTATAAATAGCTGAACTATTTCGGAAGTATAGGATGAGGAAGAGGCTGTATCCATTCTACTCAAGGTGGATGTTTAGATTAGCCAGGCACTGTGACAGGACAGATAATGACTGCGATGATTTGTGAAGGCCGTTATAGCTTGTGCCTCTCTTCCCACAATCGATGCCTGTCAGCGCTAATATAAACAGGGCATCCCTTCTGTCGCCTCACTTAAAGTGCTCCTAAGAAAAGCTTACCACTGACAATTTCGTTACTTCGATTCGAATACATCGGGGATAAAAAAAAATAAACTGTCTACTAGAATATTGGATATAATTACATCTTCGAGATTTCAACATTGACTAATGAACTAGTTTAATTGACAATCTGAATATTTTCCTAAATGGATCCACGTTTTTAATCAATACGGCTTATAATCTTTTACCTAGTTTTTATTATATAGATTAGGTATCCAATAATTACTCTTTCAATTAGGCACATTTGAACCAAATGTATTTTGTAATTAAAAATTAATTGTAAAACATTAACTGGGTAACGTGTGTTTCACACACGCTCTAGCCCGACTCCCTTCTCTTATCCGTATCCGTACATATATTATTACAGTAAGGCTCGAAATCGGTTTTGTACCAAATATAAGCTCCTGTCATGCTCAAATACCACGAATGGAGTATCGTTGGATTCAGAATTTCACGGGGGGTTAGCGAATCGTATTCTCCACTTTTGTTTTTCTTTCTAAAATAAATAAAGTCGATACTAACATTTTGCTAGGCTCAATACTGGAACGATGGCAGGTCTGTGGATCGATGCGGGACAAATTGGACCTTGAAGATTTTAATGGGTACAGCAAGACCCGGATAGTTCCTCTGGAACTATCGGATCCTGCGTTTTTAAGCCCAAAAACGTACTATTTTCGAGATAACGCAAGGCATGGGGTTCGCATCCACACCACCTGACGTTAATTGTAGTACTGTCATTGGATACATGTCTCATTTCGTCGACTTGAGGTCTCTATGATCGAGACAGGAGGAGTTTATATTATTTATCGATGGTATTTTTGATCGGCAAGCCATATCATCGTTAATTCTTCACCAAATCTCAAGATTGAGCCACCAATTTCGAAGGCTTCCTTCTCCTTCAGGCTGGCAAAATAGTCCAATCACCCCGAAAATTCAGGCAAACAAGTTATGAAAGAAAAGACACTTTATTTACGAATAACTAAAAAATTACACTTTTCCCTCGGTTATTCCCATAATTATATAAAACATTACTAAATTGTCTACAAAAGGAAAAAAAAATCATTGAAATCGGACAATTTTTTGCAAAGATACAGCTTATTGAAATTTGTAAATATATTGGTTCCAAACAAAAATGATGATATAAATTAATTTTGTCGATAAAGTAAGAATTGATTCCTTTACCTTTTGATACTTTGCATTATTTTATTTTATTATTAATTTAGCATTTGATAACAATGTACTGTGCGAATTTTTCGCACGGACCTACTAGTCTATATAAATAGGTTAAAGTATTGTGATCCTGCAAATTCTCAAATCCGGATTTTTTATAGTATCTACACGTTTCAAGTCCAAAAAAATTAGTTTCATGAAATGTTTTGTAATGTATGTGTGAACAGTCACAAATTTTTCACAAAAGTGAAAAATCGAACGAAGCTTAAATATTCAAGATACGTATATACCGGAAATGTTACAGCAACTTTTTTCCTTAAATTTTCTTAACGGTAGGGTGCCCAGAAGGGGGTTGTA